CTGCAGCGGCGGCGGCCGAAGAAGCGGCCATGCAGCGTGAGCTGCTCCCGCCCGCGGGTCGCCGGCCAGACGTGCTCTTCAAGGCGCCGGAGCCGGTGTGCGCCGCGCCCGGGCCGCCACACGGCCCCGCAAGCGCCGCCTCCAACTTCTACAGCGCGGTGGGTCGCAATGGCATCCTGCCCCAGGGCTTCGACCAGTTCTACGAGGCGGCGCCCGGGCCCCCATTCGCCGGGCCGCAACCCCCGCCGCCGCCCGTGCCGCCGCAGCCCGAGGGCGCTGCTGACAAGGGCGACCCCAAGTCCGGGGCTAGTGGAACCGGGGGCAGTCCCTGCGCCAAGGCGACCCCCGGCTCGGAGCCCAAGGGGGCAGCGGAAGGTGCTGGCGGCGACGGCGAGGGCCCCCCGGGGGAGGCGGGGGCCGAGAAGAGCAGCGGCGCAGGTAGGCATAGGGCGCAGGGGGAGCGGCTGGGCTCAGGGGCCGCGGGAGCGCGGGGGGGGGGCGCGGGGGCCTCCCTCTGCTTGCGCCGTTTTATGTGCTATTTTATAAGCATTCGAAGGGGTTTATACATCCTATAAGATTTCCCGGGTCGTTGTAAAGCGTGTTTATGATAGGAAACCAATTTAGGTGGGCTTAAGGTAGACTTGGAGTAGGACATTAATCGCTGCAGAGTGCTTTTTCCCTGTTTGGGGAGCGGGTGTTGAAGATCATAGAGGGAGGGAGGGAGATGTTGAGCCAGTGGGTGAGGGCGGACCAGGAGCCTCCAGCTTTTAAGGGAGGGGGTGGGTGATCCTTGTACTGGACTTTATCCAAGCCACTGGCTGACACGCCGCTAGAGTTGAGCGGATGCCGCGGCCGGCGCACTCTTGTCGCTCTCCCCTCGGGTTTCAGTTCAAAGCCTGCCTCACTCTTCCGTATCTGGGTGCCAGGCTGGTTGTGAATGAGTGTGAAGAAGTGTGTGTGTGTGTGTGTGTGTGTGTGAGAGAGAGAGAGAGAGAGACAGAGAGAGAGAGAGGGAGAGAAGTGTGTGTGTGTGTGTGTGTGTGTGTGTGTGTTCGGGCATGAGCACACGTCCACGCCCGCACTCCCCTGTGCCCGCCCATATATCATCCCCCACGACGCAGGCAGGGCCTTTCAGCAGCGGCAGGGGACGTCCCTAACGGGGCCAGGGCCTGGACCTAACTCAGTGGCCCGAGCGGAGGGTGGGGGGCTGGTAGGCAGAGGCCCCTCTCTCACCCCTTGGTCTCTTTCCCTTGCAGTGGCCCCTCAGAGATCCCGGAAAAAGCGCTGTCCCTACACCAAGTACCAGATCCGCGAACTGGAACGCGAGTTTTTCTTTAACGTATACATAAACAAAGAGAAAAGACTCCAACTCTCTCGGATGCTCAACCTCACTGACCGGCAAGTCAAAATCTGGTTCCAGAATCGCAGGATGAAAGAAAAGAAACTGAACAGAGACCGTCTGCAGTATTTCACTGGAAACCCCTTATTTTGAGAGCTCCAGGAAGCGCCCCCTCCCCCGATCCCCACTCACCCACCCTTCTTTCCCCACTAGCCTGCCCTCCGCAGGCCCAATGTCCTTGGGTTTAATGACGCCTCTTCTCTGTGGAACTTCACGATTCCTTCTCACGGTCAACTCGGGACCTCCCAGCGACCACTGCAGCCTGAGGACGAGGCCGAGGACTTGGCCGAGCGGATCCTAATAAGGGGAAAATGGTAAATTCAAACGTCCCTTTACAATTTTACCGCCAATGTGCTGTTGTTCCTTTTACCACCTCTGAGTCCTCGTGGGGACGCGGCGGGATCTGTGTGGGGAGTTAGGCCACGGAGCTAGAAGGCGCTGGTGTTTTGTTCTGAGCTTAAGTGATCCCTTTCTTCATCCTAGGTGAACGCAGATTATTTAAACTCTGGGGAAATGTACCTTTGGTCTGTCATATCAAGGCATGAGTCACTGTCTTTTTGTGTGTGAATAAATGGTTTCTAGTAAAATGGAGGTTACAGCTTCAATACACTGCATGAATTTTCCTCTTTAAAGAAGTTAGTGACTGATTAGGATTATTTTAGTGGCCAGAGCCCTCTCTTCCATGCAACTGAAAATCATCGGGTGAAATACTTTTAAATTTTACTACAATAAGAGTTGTTTCTTCATACCCCCTCTAGTCTACCTTGGTTTTAAAAATCACATGAGTGATAAATTTCTGAATTGATGGTGTGACCCAGCCATGCTGGTGCTGTCTTCTCCTAGCTATGAGGCTGGAGCAGCAGGAACCTTAGGAACAGATTCCCCCCACACCACCACTCCTAGTCTAGTGAACTTGGAATTTCTGGAAAGACAAAACAATTTTAGACCAAAACCAGTTAGACAATCCAAATTATCTCGACAAGGTGACAAGGAGCCAGGGTTCCTTAAAAGAAGAAACTAAAAGTAGAACCCTCCATTGAGGAAAAATAGTTTACTAAAAGGAAGTTAGTAGGTGGAGAGGGCTTGGGTCCTTGCTGGAGCAGGGAATGTAAGCCTCCTTCACTGGACTAATGCCAGGGGCTGCAGACCTGCTTCTCACCACATTTATCGCTTTAAGTTAAAGAATGTGGTGAGGACTGCACTACACTTTATGTTGCAGGGCCAAGCCAGGCTGTTTACAAAACCTTGAACTGTCTAGACAACACCATAAAAGCCAAAGTTCTAAACAGCTTAATTGGGTTATATTATACACCTTCTGGTGAGCCCAAAAGAGATTTCCGCAATGTGCAATAAACTGGAGAAGTGAGAAAAGCTTCTCTTTCTCTGGAAAGAGTAAAATGAATCTTATGACTCTTAAACTCATAAGCCCAAAGTCAAAATATAAATTCATAAAATGCACAGCACCTCTTTAAGGAAATATGCATTTTGAAATGCAAAATTTTTTAATTGCATAGATTTTTTGGGGGTAAGCAAAAACATAAGTGCATAAGTGTATGCCTTTGAACTTCCAAAATGTCAAGGTCATCACCTTTAACCTCTCTGAATAATTAGGCGCCTTAAGGTTCTTCTGTGATTTTCAACAGCCACCCACTACCATGATCCATGCTCACACATCCAGACCCACGCATTTATGACCACACAGGATCATTTTGGGGGCTCACCATAAATCTAAGAAAATTCCTAATTTCAGGATCAATAACATTAATTTCCCTCCAAACATTTGAGTAATTCAATAGTAATTGACTTCTTTAAAAAAAATACTGGTTAGATTAAAATGCCTATTAGCTTTCGATACAGCTAGGATGTGCTGGGGATTTGGAGGGGGGAATCTTAGAAAGTGATTCCCTTTGCTCTAATAAAGAACCACAGCTTTTTTTTTTTTAAGAAGGCCTTTGAAAGAGTAAGTTCTGTTCAGACTTAAACCTTTGTGATATTTGAAACCAATTTGCCACCCCATCAAGTAAATCACGGCACTTTCTAAGATATGGAATAAAATATATTTATATTGTTCTTAAAAGCATCCCTCAACCTTTGGTGAAAGATGCAATAGATACAAAGCGGACAATCAAATTATTTCGTTCGGAAGGGGATTCCTTTGTTTGAAATTCTGGGCATCGGTTTAAATGTGAATGCCCTAATAGTATGGTTTTTTTCCAGGAGCTTAAAACTGGTTTATTTATTTCTTCGTCATTTTGTTTTTAACTGCTTCTAAATGTGTAAGCTTGTGTGCCAGCCACCATAGGCAAGCCAAACCCGAGAGATACAATTTCCCCTTTGCAAGGGCCTGAACAACCACACGAGGGCGCGCTCACGTTCCAGAAGCTACTTTGGCCGAGAGACTGCGGTACCTTATTTTTCCAATACTGGATTCTAATAGGCGATCTCGGCCCGTTAGAAACAAGCAAGCAGCAGCTAAGGTGTTTGCTATTTGTTTGCTCTAAGCAGCCGTGAGGAGTAAGCGGTTGTATAGACACAGAGAAAAAAAGGGGGAGGGGGAAAGGACAACCAGAGTCTTAGAACAGGAGATTACCTAACTGCTTCAAAGAATCCCTTGGTATGGCCTGATGGTGTGGAGGAGAGGTTTTTTTAAAAGATATATACACGTATTTTGAAATATGTTAAACCACTGCGACTTAATTAAATTAGAAAAAAATCAATTTTCTTGTTGTTTGAATGTGGAGAGTGATGTCAAGAGTAGAATCCCGTCTCTCCACCTCACCACAGCCGCACGCGTCTTTGAGCTCTCAGACCTCGGGGATGATTAAAAGGCTTTTGTTTAAGACAGATTAGGGCGTCTGCAACTTAGCTGAGTGTGTACTTAGAAAAAATGAGATGCGTCAAGGATCATGGGGGTCATTCTGGGCTAAGTATCCTGAGACCATGTGTGGCGCGGGGCTATCCCTGGTGACCCGGAGGCACAGACAGTACTAGGAGTTGGGGTGCCCGTGCCAGGCTGGGCTGATGCGGATGCGGGAGACAGGAGGCTCTTTGGTGGGGGAGGGGGAACGTTTATACTTCAAGGTATTATGGAACAAGAGGTATTTGAAGTAAATGGGTGCTTGTTTGACAGAACCGGAGCCACCCGTCCAAGCTGCCCGCCGGCCTTGGGGTGCGGAGTTTGATTTTGGCACCCGCTCTTAGAAGCAGTTTATTCGCTGTTGCCATCCCCACCCCGGCAAAGCCCCTGACCTTGGAGACTGCCTGGGTCCCCGGCCGCGGGTCCAAAAGGAAAGAACAAGGCTCCAGGACAGGGGCCTCTTTAAGGGCAGGAGGGCTGCGCCCTTTCCTCCCCGAAGTTCATTGTAAAGAGCCTGCAGCCCTCTGGAATTAGCGATGGCCTCGTAGGCTCCATACAGTCTGTCCCCCGCCTTCCAAGCCCTTGGACCTCAGGCCCTGGGACCCTCCGTCCGCTCGTTCGCCGGCCTCGGGGAGCTGGCATTGGCTTGCGGGGAGGCTGGGACGCCAAGACTCCCCCGCAAGGCGCCAGCGAGAAGCGTGGGTGTTCCCCGCGGGTACACCCGGCTCCGCCTGTCTGGCTGCGGGTCCCGAATAGCTATTGTGAAGCGACCTTTCCTGGGTCCCAACCCGGGCTTTAGTCTGCGTGAGGTGATAAGTCCTTCCCCAAATGTCGTTGAGTTCCTCGGTAGGCGGCCCCATCGGCGGCGCATCTGGCTGTGCGGGGCCCCTTGGCCTTGGCTGGCAGCCGCCGGCGGACCGCGGCAGCTCTGCGGTATGCAGTGCTTTTTCCGCTCCCCAGCGCCCAACATAGATCTGGCAGGGTGGGGGATCAGACCAGGACCTCTAGGAGCGGAAGACCTTCTGCTCTCTGATGGTTCAGAGTGTGTGGGGCTCGCTCAGGGTGGCCGTGGATCCTGAGGCGCCAGGTCTCGGATTCTGAAGTGGAGGGAAAATGCGCGAAGTCTTTTGTGTGTCTGTGCACAAGGAGGCTCTCGGCCCGCGGTCCGTTTGCAAGTCTCCGTAGACCCCTTATCGCGTTGGTGATAACGTCCCCATTTGCCCCCTGGATTTCTTTTCACCTTGGCTGGGTGGTGCACAGTGTAGCCCAGAGGGGCGCTCTAGGGAGGCAGCTTTTAATTTGTCCCCATCCTTTCTGTCTCCAAAGAATGTCATAGCTCAGAGGCCACTCAGGTCTCTAATTCAGGGCGACTCTAGAAGCCCCCAGGTTCTTTCAGGCTCAGGGCCTCCACTCTTCTTTCCCTAGACAAGAAGAGTGCAGATGCAAGCCACTTTTTGATTATAAATGCTAATTTCTTGCTAAGGCAACCCTTTTAATTTTTCTCTGGAAAGAACTGTGAAAGGGAGAAGGCTTTCTGGTACAAATATGAGTATTCATCTCTTTTATGGTGCAATATTGATTTATTATTAATGGTAACTGCTCCAACTGATCTAAAGATGATCGAAAACAGCAACTACGTTAAATACTCTAAACAAAATAAAGGTTGGCCTTTAATAAAACCTTTTTATTCCATTTGCTTCATCTCAGCTGTAAAGTCTTAAGGCTCACGGTCTGTCCTCCCCACCCAGATCATTCTGTTGTATTTCCATTTTGCTCGATTTTTATTGATACAAATTTCTAAAATATTGACAGTCTCTGACCGCAAGGGACTAGTCTGAAAGTAGAAATTTGAAAGAGAAAAAAAAAGTTTTGTTAAACTAGATTAAAATTATATGGTATACACACTTTTTTTTTCTGTGAGTGAAAAATATGGGTTGACTTTAAGCTCAAAGCCACAGGGATCTGAAACAGAAAGGCCCCCCAAAACAGAAGGCAGATCCTGCCTGTCCTGGCTCACTGAAGACCCACCCCGCTCTGCGAGGAATTGCTTGTTTTTAGCCTGGATGTTTTCTTCATGTATAAATAAAGATTATGAAAGGGCATTTGATGGGCATAAAATTCCTGATTAGATTAAACAGTCCTTCCTCGCTTGGGATAGGGGAAATTGGGCAACCCACTTCTGGGCAGCCCTCCTGGCCGATTGCAAGGCAACAAGCACAATGCTGGAACGCCAAGCTGGCGTCAGGGTGCCTGTGGAGAGCTAGTGCAGCGGGCACTTTGTCCCACCCTGGGCATACTTAGCTGTGCTTTCAAACAACATCTCCACAATATTAAAAAGGAAAATTTGGGGCAATGATCATTGCCTGTTAGGTTTGAACAGGATCTCAGCAACCTAGAGTCAAAAGTAGTTTTTTTTTCCCCCCTGTTTTGCTAAACCCCTACCCCAAAGCTTAAAAATAACTACCCCTGTAGAAAGGTAATGTTTAAACCTCGGCTACACCGGGATGCAGCAGGCCAGTGCAGTTAGAGGCGCCAGGCTTTTAACCTGACAATGATGTTGTATTTGAACAGCTGCGTAAAGGTTTAAAAGGTCTGTCTCATTGCCACCGCGGAGTTTTTAAAAAGGGGTTATTGTTTGGGCGAGGGCACTGAGAGGGGACAAGCAATCGGTCCCAAGGCCGAAAATAATGTTCAGTGGCTGTTTTCACCAGGCCAGGCGAAATTCCTTTTGGGGGGGGGAACAAAGGTTTTTTTTGTTTGTTTGTTTGTTTTTTGGTAAAGGTTTTTGTGAAGTAGCAGGCAGGCTCCTATATCCCCCAGAATGCTGAAGCGCTTTAATGAGCATCGAACCCCAAAGAAATGTTCTGCTGATGCGGAAACCGGATTTACCCACAAGTTCAGTCTCTGGGCCTGAAATCCAAGGCCAGCCCATGCCTGGGTGAGTGTGGGGAAAAGAGAACACGGATGCCTTCCCGGACAGGGAACTGGTTCACGGTCAGAGTTTCCGGGGCCGGTTTACTTTCTTGGCTGCCGCGAAGGGGTCACGGGAGGCCTAAGGAAGGCTCCCTCTCGCTTGCAGGCCCCTAGCCCAGGGCAAATCTTTGGAAATCAAGGTTAATGCTCCCCGCTGCTGTCCCGCTGCTGTCCCGAGGCTAGGGGGGCTTCCGCAGGGCGGCTCACCCGCCTGCAACCAGAGAAGGAGGGAGGAAGTTGTACAAGTTTCTCATAAAACTCCGAGTCTCCATGGTGGTAGTAGTGGTGGTTGTTCTTTAATGAGCTGGACCACAACCCCAGACCATATCCTCTTTATGGAACTTTCTCTCACCAGAGGAAACAGAGGACTAAGACCACCCCATCTTCTTTCCTAAGCAAAACCTTGTCAAATAATTTTAGGGATTGTCCAAAACTATAAAACTCAACTTCTGACAAAAGTATAGCTTTTAATATTTGACAATTTGTGTTAAAACAAAAAATTGACCTTCTTGGCTAGTAGAGAAGGGGAAAAATCAATAGTATAATTTTCAATAATTCATAAAGCGAACGCCATTATGCTAAATCTTAACTATTAATCTTATCCTTTACAAAGTCTCGATTGATTTGTTAATAAAATATCTTCCCTTGTGTGGCAACAGCGGGTATAACTCTTTAAAAACCTTCAGAAGCAAGAAAATTACCAAGTAGCCCAAGAATGTAGATGAGAATTTTATTGATCGCCCTGATTCTTCTTAATATGTATTAATAAATTCCACAACCTTTTGTACCTTGCACTTGTCAGAAACCAATGCTTTTACAAAATCCATAAAAGGAAAACATTTTTCTTCGCAGAAGAACCAAATGACACCTTTGTATTTCTCTCTTCCCTGCCTGGCCCAGTTTTCTAAAACTTCTGGGGTCTGAGAGTCAGCGTTTTCCCCTTTCCTTTAAAAAATTATTTTCTTTCTCCCTTCCTTCCTCTCTGCCCAGTATTACCAGGATGTGTGGGGAAGGAAATCTCGGTTTAGTTCTCCTTCTGGGAGTCCGAGGGACGCTTTTACGCTTAGGGAACTGCTGGCGAAGGCTTGTTTCCAGTCTGAAAGCTCCTAGCGCCTGGCCGTTCAAAGGTCAGGGTGTGGTTACTCTAAAAGCAGAGGACTCGCGTAGTAGTTCGTGGGACGCGGAGGGGCTCCGGATCGGAGCGGGAGGTCAAGAAAAGGATCACTGCGGGGCAGGGCCCATCCTTGCTACTCCGGCTCTGGTCAGCTGCGTGGCCTCTCGGCCCTCGCGGCCCTTTTCGCCGGCGTTTCCCGGGACACCTTGGCCATGTCTTTGCAAGAGGTATCTTTCTTTTGGACGCCTGGGGTGGGATGTCTCAGGACCTGGAGAATGCTACTCACCTTCCCAGCTGCCTGGTACTAAAATTAACCATCCCGCGCTCCCACCCCCTACCCCGGACCCGGCCTTCTTGGGCGCGTTCCGCCTGGGGGGTGTGCAGGGACATTCTGTGTGCTGGCGCCACGGCGCTGTGGCTTCCCTTCCCTCGCTTGTCCTCCCGGAGGCCCCTCCGACCAAGCCTTTCCTTCCGCCGGCGGAGCCTGGTAGCCGGGGCGGGAGACGCGAGTGGGGCAGGCAGGCCAAGCGAGCCCGGGGGAGGCGGGCCGGCGGGCGGCTGAGAGCTCTGGGCCGGTTGTCTCCAGCGCGCACTATCGCAGGCGCATAGTAGATGTCGCTGTTGTCCGTGCTTACGCGGCCGGCCGGCCGGGCTCTGGACCACGTGACCTGCGAGGAGGCTGCGGCTCAAGGCCATTTTCAAATCTCATTGGCTTGGTTGTCATGTGGTCGGCAGAGGCATCCACAATTACACGGGGAATGTTTTCCTAGAGATGTCAGCCTACAAAGGACACAATCTCTCTTCTTCAAATTCCTCCCCAAAATGTCCTTTCCCAACAGCTCTCCTGCTGCTAATACTTTTTTAGTAGATTCCTTGATCAGTGCCTGCAGGAGTGACAGTTTTTATTCGAGCAGCGCCAGCATGTACATGCCACCACCTAGCGCAGACATGGGGACCTATGGAATGCAAACCTGTGGACTGCTCCCGTCTCTGGCCAAAAGAGAAGTGAACCACCAAAATATGGGTATGAATGTGCATCCTTATATACCTCAAGTAGACAGTTGGACAGACCCGAACAGATCTTGTCGAATAGAGCAACCTGTTACACAGCAAGTCCCCACTTGCTCCTTCACCACCAACATTAAAGAAGAATCCAATTGCTGCATGTATTCTGATAAGCGCAACAAACTCATTTCTGCTGAGGTCCCTTCGTACCAGAGGCTGGTCCCCGAGTCCTGTCCCGTTGAGAACCCCGAGGTTCCTGTCCCTGGATATTTTAGACTGAGTCAGACCTACGCCACCGGGAAAACCCAAGAGTACAATAACAGCCCCGAAGGCAGCTCCACTGTCATGCTCCAGCTCAACCCTCGTGGCGCGGCCAAGCCGCAGCTCTCGGCTGCCCAGCTGCAGATGGAAAAGAAGATGAACGAGACCGCGAGCGGCCAGGAACCCACAAAAGTCTCCCAGGTGGAGAGCCCTGAGGCCAAAGGCGGCCTCCCCGAAGAGAGGAGCTGCCTGGCTGAGGTCTCCGTGTCCAGTCCCGAAGTGCAGGAGAAGGAAAGCAAAGGTCGGTATGAGCAGAGTTGTCACCCCAGCGGGGCGCGCAGTCCGGGAACCCAGCGGAGAGGGAGCGCTCGGGTGCCCAGCGCAGAGCCCAGGCAGCCGAGACCAGTGCCGACTTGGCAGGTGCTGCTCCGCCCGGCTTTTAGAGGGGCGATCTCAGCCTTGAGAAACACTCCCCCCTTCTCTCCCTCTGTTCTGGCCCTCCCGGCCAGTCCTGGCCCCATGCTGATGGCGCCAGGGCAGAGGAAAGGCTTGCTGGGTTTATTTTTCCTGAGCCAGACCTGAAATGCAACAAAAGAGGGCAAAGGAGACCTGCGGCTCGGCTCGTAAACAGGGCCCCAGAGCCTCCTTTCTCCTGCTCAGATTTGCAGTTCCAGTTTTGCATTGCACCCAGTGATCATTTTAAGGTGGTCCAAGGCACCGTGTTTGTGTTCAAGAGTATGCACCCCGCATCCTGCGAGTTTGGGGGCCACGAGAGGAACTAGATGGTTGGGCCGGTTTGCGCTTGGCTAGGAGAACAGGGCTTCCTGCCTTTGTGGGGCTAGGTAACCTTGGCTTTGTCTGGGGAAAGTGCCTCAGGCTTTTGCAATCTGTCTACAAAGAGGGCAAAGGCAGGAGGGAGAATGGATCTGCATTGCCCACTTTGCAGGACCAGCCTTAGGGCGAGACTACTGCAAAGAGCCAGATAACTCCTTTTTTGAGAAGAAACCCTGCCTCCTGAACCTCTCTCCCCAGTACCCAGAGGTGGGCCACACTAGGGCTTACATTTTGCCGGAAATGCTTTTGTGTGGGAACAATTCAGGAAATTCTGGGGAAATCCAATAATGCCCAGGTAGGGTGAAGAAGGTGCCCTTGCTTCCTCATTTATCTTTTGAGAGAGGACAGACACCTATAAACCTGGCTGTGAGGTTCCTTGCTTGCTTAGTAGAGGTGGGGAATCAGCGTCACACTGGGGGGCCCGAGGTCGCAGCGAGTTTGGCAGGCTTGCTGTGGTTTCCTCCTGTCACTTAGAATGCTGCTGGGGAGATCCAGGAAAGTTTACCATTATAATAATGTTTTGTGGGAATCAGAAATTGTGTATGTGTGTGTGTGTGTGTGTGTGTGTGAGAGAGAGAGAGAGAGAGAGAGAGAGAGAGAGAGAGAGAGAGAGAGAAGAGAGCGCCCTAATGCAGTGTATACTCACATCATGTTACTTTGGCCATTTAGTTCTAGTTTGGCATCAATTTAAAATCCCTTTCAGGGCCTTTCCCTGTGAGTAATGTTTAATACGAGCATCACCCTAAGCAGCCTGCCTGCCAGCAGGGTCATGGCCAAGGGTATATTTGAACAGACTGAGAGAAAAAAAAATCTTCATTTTTTTCTTCTCCCTTTAATTTTGTTAGAGGAAATCAAGTCTGATACTCCAACCAGCAATTGGCTCACTGCAAAGAGTGGCAGAAAGAAGAGGTGCCCTTACACTAAGCACCAAACGCTGGAATTAGAAAAAGAGTTCTTGTTCAATATGTACCTCACCCGCGAGCGCCGCCTAGAGATCAGTAAGAGCGTTAACCTCACCGACAGGCAGGTCAAGATTTGGTTTCAAAACCGCCGAATGAAACTCAAGAAGATGAGCCGAGAGAACCGGATCCGAGAACTGACCGCCAACCTCACCTTTTCTTAGGTCCAAGGCCAGTGGGAGGCCAGGATCGGAGAGGGGGCACCGCGTTCCAGGGTCGAGAGCTGGAGGACTG